TGGTCACGGTAGATGCTCTGATTCTAATTAGAGTGGCATTTCTGTAATTATCCATTCTTCTAGAGGTATTTTAGTAATTTGCCACTTTTCGAATATTTTATTATTATTTTTCTCGAAAAATCTATAATTTTTCTACAAATTTCTCATCGCTTTTTTATCATTTTTCACTGATTTTGAATCTTGAGATTCCTTCAAGATAAGGAATTGCAAATCAGTAAAGATTCTTGATAATTGATAAAATGACTTTTCGAACTTTTTCATTTACTTTTTCCTTTCCAATCCTTTTCAAAAGGCCTTTTAACTCCTTGAAATCACTTGTTAGGGTACACGAGTTACTTGACTAAGTCCCTTGTTCTTGCTTAATTCTTTAATTTTTTTCTTTCTATCCTTTGGGTATTTCATGAGTGGCTTATTCTTATGGGAGCTAATTTCCTTCATTTTTGGGGTGTTACATATACATACCCGTTACAAACACAAAATAAGAAGCAGACTCAAAAGAAGAACAAAAAATACTAGATTAAAAATAGAGGTTAGTCCATGGCCCACACTCCAAAGTCCACTCTCATCCACGACCAACTCTTAGTTACTTGAAAAAAAAAAAATCCTAAACATGGAGTGAGTAAAACTTAGTAACCTACTAGTAGGTTCTTAATCGCGACCTTAAGCTAGGATATTACTTCTTGTTATGTTTTTAGGATCTTAGAACTTAAAGGTCATCGTGTCATGTACCATATACTGATCCTGAAAACCTTCCTCGAAAATAACCTTCAATTTTCTCCCCATGAACACATGAGTGGTGTCATCATAATCATGTAATCCTACTGGTAAATCGTGGTGCAGGACATCTCGTTTAACAGATGGGAAAGGTAGGCCTATCATAACATCTAGCTCATGATACATATTGCAGGACATCCTACCTAAAGAGGAATAGGGGCCTTTTAGTACACATCATAATGCAGATAATGGTTACTTATGGCTATGGATCCTAGCAACTTATTTAGCATGTTATTCACATAGTTCTAGATACTTGGTATATGGATTATTGATGAACCTAGGTTTATACATAATGTCATGGGTTAGGCTTTAGGAGTTGAGGTTTTAGCTTAGGAAAACATTAGAGGGTAACCTAACGTGGACTCATTCGTGTGAAAACCTACTAGCACTTTGAGGACCTCTTTCCTTCACCAAACTAAACTTATGGGTAAACCTATTTAGAAGGTGCAGGAACAAATTTGGAAATGAATAGTGGACTATAGTTCTTGAATTCGAGGTAAACCCATGAACACGATACCCCAAAACAAAAAACTTGTATCTCTCGATTGGGTACTCGATTAAGCTTGCTTCTTGCCCCTAATAGTCTACCCTAATTCATAATTTATAGACGGATTTTCCACTACCATTGAAACGTCTAAAATTTCTATAATTTTATTCTTGATTTTTCTGAATCTTCTGCCAGAAAAGTCTTCTCCGATCAGAGCTTTCCTTTTTTAAGCACCTTGTAATTCTTATTCTATAAAAAATTTAATGAGTCGAGAAGTTTATAAAAATTAGAAAAAGTACCATTTTATCAATGTTTTTTCAATTTTACTTGTTCTTTGCTTCTAGATACAACCTAGTATGGATTATACACGGTCTCTTATTGGAGACCTTGAGTGTTGCAAATTCTCCTCTCCTTTGAAAACTTTCAGTCATCCCAAGTGCTTATTCTAAAATAAGTCAGAGTACAAGGTTCTTATTTGCCTTCTATTTCCCAAGTGGCTTCTTCTACTCTATGATTCTTCCATAGGACCTTAACAAGAGAGATTTTCTTGTTTCTCAATCATTTGACTTTCTTGTCTATTATTTGAATCGGGTCTTTTTTATACGTTAGGTCATCTCTCAAGAAGAGAGTTTCATGAGCCAGTACGTGCGAACGATCTAGGGTATACTTCCGTTGTATGGATACATGAAAGATATTATGTATTGTAGACAAGTTTGGGCATTGCCCGATTCTATAGGCCACAGATCCAATCCTTTCTAATATCTCAAAGGGACGGATAAACCTAGGGCTTCGCTTCCCCTTTTCACCCTACCTGAGCACCCCTCTCATGGGGTGCTACCTTTAGGAATATATGATCCCCTACCTACAATTCCATGTCCTTGCGCCTTAGGTGATATGAACCAAGAGACATCAATCATACAATATGCTTCAATGAAGATGTGGAGAAAAGGTTATCAAAATAATCAAAAGATGTTTCAATTCATGCTACATTGAAGAAGAATAAAGTTTGATTGTTGTAAATTTTGGGTGGGTTATAATTTAGAGTTATTGTGTTTTAAGACTTTTTATTTAATTTCGGTTACATTTACATAATGGCTAATTATGGCCATAAAGTGTGAATGTTACAACTTTTGGAATGCCTTTAATAGTTTCATTTTGAGGCTATATAAAGCCATCTATGTTGTATTTGTAATAAGACTTAGAAGATATATCAAAAGAAGCATTTGTGCTTTTCTTTAGCCAATGGCTAAGTTTCTTTGCAATTCTATGTAGTTTAGATTGCATGTAGAATCATTCAAGCTCGACATGATCAATCTTGCTTGTGGAGTGATTCGAATCTCAAACAAAGTGTTCTTGGTTTGAGATATTCGATCGACAAGGTAATCCGAATCTTATTCCCCTTGTATTGACTCCTTATCTTATCATTTGGTATCAGAGCTTCAGGCTCAAGATCGGATATATGTTTCCTTTGCGTTTCTTCTCAATTTAATTTTTATTTATTTTCATCTTTTTAGTTTTTAATCGACCCAAAGTTCAAAATTCAATCTTTGCTCTATTTAAAATTTTGAGAGGTGAGAATGAGAGCTTCATTTGTGTAAATGAGTGCAAACAGAGTGGCCTAAAATTCCTTGAGTGTATACACGTGAGAGAGTGTTGTGAGGTCCTTTGTATTTCCATAACTTATTTTTTGCAGCAAAGTTTCACAAATAGATTCGAGGACGAATCCTCTTGAAGAAGTGGAGAATGATATGAACCAAGAGACATCAATCATACAATATGCTTCAATGAAGATGTGGAGAAAAGGTTATCAAAATAATCAAAAGATGTTTCAATTCATGCTACATTGAAGAAGAATAAAGTTTGATTGTTGTAAATTTTGGGTGGGTTATAATTTAGAGTTATTGTGTTTTAAGACTTTTTATTTAATTTCGGTTACATTTACATAATGGCTAATTATGGCCATAAAGTGTGAATGTTACAACTTTTGGAATGCCTTTAATAGTTTCATTTTGAGGCTATATAAAGCCATCTATGTTGTATTTGTAATAAGACTTAGAAGATATATCAAAAGAAGCATTTGTGCTTTTCTTTAGCCAATGGCTAAGTTTCTTTGCAATTCTATGTAGTTTAGATTGCATGTAGAATCATTCAAGCTCGACATGATCAATCTTGCTTGTGGAGTGATTCGAATCTCAAACAAGTGTTTGAGATATTTGATCAACAAGAATCATTGAAGCTCGACATGATCGATCTTGCTTCTGGAGTGATTCGAATCTCAAACAAAGTGTTCTTGGTTTGAGATATTCGATCGACAAGGTAATCCGAATCTTATTCCCCTTGTATTGATTCCTTATCGTATCATTAGGTCTGCATAGCTTTTCTCTCAACTTTGTGCGGTTTGTATCCTAGCTTTAATCTTCTGGATTGCGGCGTTGGTAATTTGCACCAGCTCTGGCCCAATAGTTGTCGTTTGCTCCCCTTCTTCCCAAAAGATAGGGGATCGAAATCTTCGTCCATAGAGAACATCGTATGTGGCCATTTGTATGGTGACTTGGCAAGTATTATTATAAGCGAATTTCATAAGGGGTAGGTACTTATCCCAACTTCCTGCAAAATCCATCACATATACCCTCAACATGTCTTCAAATATTTGCTTGAGCATTTCTATTTGACCATCTTTTTATGGGTGGAATGTCGTACTACAACTGCGTACCCAATGTCTTTTGTTGAATTTTCCAGAAGCGAGATTTAAATCTGGCATCTCGGTCTAATACTATTGCCTTTTGTTGAATTTCCAGAAGTGTACCCAATACCTTTACTGATGAATATTCATTTTTAATGTTAGCAAGAGTAGCTCAGTTGGAAGATTGTTAGACTGAAGATTTGAAAGTCACACGTGTTTTATCCCTATTCAACGCACCTAATACAAGTTTATTATGTGACTATACAATCTAAAAACATAACTTGCTTATTCAATCTAAAATTAGTGATTATTTCTTTTTTAAACATAATGAATTAGCGGAAATACCTTTACTTATGAATTTTCATTTTTAATATTAGCAGGGATAGCTCTATTGGGAGAGCATCCGACTGAAGATTTAAAGGCCACGTGTTTGATCTCCACGTTCAGCGCACCTAATTCTAGTTGCATAACTCGATTATTCAATCTAAAATTAGTCATTATTCCTTTCTGAAATCTCAATGAATTATCGGAAATACCTAAAGTGTTCTAGTTCACCGCACCTTATACAAGTTGGATAACTTGAATATCTTATTAAAAATTAGTGATTATTTCTATTTAAAATTTCAATGAATTAGCGAAAATACCTTTACTGATGAATTTTTATTTTTAACGTTAGTGTGGATAGCTCAGTTGAGAGAGCGTTAGATTGAAAATCTGAAGGTCTCGTGCTCGATTCACGTTAACCACACATGGTTCACGTTGCACAATTTGACTATTAAATTTAAAATTAGTGATCATTTCTTTCTAAAATTTCAATTAATTAGCAGAAATATCTTTACTTAAAAACTTTTATTTTTAATGTTAGCGAGGATAGCTCAGTTTGGAGAGCGTCAGATTTAAGATTTGAAGGTCACGTGTTCGATCTCCCCGTTCACCGCACCTGTTTCTATTTGCATAACCTGACTATTCAATAAAAAATTAGTCATTATTTCTTTTTTAAAATCTCAATGAATCAATGAAAATATCTTTACTGATGAATTTTCATTTCTAATGATTGCGGGGATAGCTCAGTTGGGAAAGCGTCAGACTGAAGATCTAAAGGTCATGTGTTTGATTCACGTTCACCGCACTTATTTAGTTGATTATTATTTGAGTGAAATAGCTTTACTTATGAATTTTTATTTTCTACGTTACAGGGGATAGCTTAGTTGGGAGACCGTAATATTGAAGATTCAAAGGTCACGTGTTTGATTCACGTTCACCGCACTTGTTTAGTTGATTATTATTTGAGTGGAAATAGCTTTACTTATGAATTTTTATTTTTAATGTTACAGGGGATAGCTTAGTTGGGAGACCGTAATATTGAAGAGACCGTAATATTGAAGATTCAAAGGTCACGTGTTCGTTTGACCTTCACCACACCTGATTATGCTATAGGGGATAGCTTAGTTGGGAGACCGTAATATTGAAGATTCAACCGTAATATTGAAGATTCAAAGGTCACGTGGTCGTTCAACCTTCACCACACCTCATTCAAGTAGTATAACTTACTATCTTATCTAAATTTAGAGATGATTTCTTTTTAAAATTTCAATGAATTAGCGTAAATAATTTTACTTATGAATTCAGTGATTATTTCTTTTTAAAATTTCAAAATTTTCATTTTCAATGTTACACGGGATATCTTAGTTGGGAGACCGTAATATTGAAGATTCAAAGGTCACGTGTTCGTTTGACCTTCACCACACCTGATTATGTTATAGGGGATAGCTTAGTTGGGAGACCGTAATATTGAAGATTCAACCGTAATATTGAAGATTCAAAGGTCACGTGTTCGTTTGACCTTCACCACACCTGATTATGTTATAGGGGATAGCTTAGTTGGGAGACCGTAATATTGAAGATTCAACCGTAATATTGAAGATTCAAAGGTCACGTGATCGTTCGACCTTCACCACACCTCATCCAAGTAGTATAACTTATATCTTATCTAAATTTAGACCGTAATATTGAAGATTCAAAGGTCACGTGTTCGTTTGACCTTCACCACACCTGATTATGTTATAGGGGATAGCTTAGTTGGGAGACCGTAATATTGAAGATTCAACCGTAATATTGAAGATTCAAAGGTCACGTGATCGTTCGACCTTCACCACACCTCATCCAAGTAGTATAACTTATATCTTATCTAAATTTAGACCGTAATATTGAAGATTCAAAGGTCACGTGTTCGTTTGACCTTCACCACACCTGATTATGTTATAGGGGATAGCTTAGTTGGGAGACCGTAATATTGAAGATTCAACCGTAATATTGAAGATTCAAAGATCACGTGATCGTTCGACCTTCACCACACCTCATCCAAGTAGTATAACTTATATCTTATCTAAATTTAGAGATGATTTCTTTTTAAAATTTAAATGAATTAGCGTAAATAATTTTACTGATCAATTTTCATTTTAATGTTAGCATGGATAGCTGAATTGGGAGTGGGAGTGGGTCTATAGATCTAAAGATAGTCTGGATTCCTAATTATTTATTTGACTATAAATGCTCTATAAGAATTCTTTATTTGACTATAAATGCTCCATAAGACATTTAGTAAAATGACTCATTTTATTGCTCCATAAGACATTTAGTAAAATGACTCATTTTATTGCATGGAACAATAAAATTGAAGTTCTCGTATAATTGTCAATACATTCTATTTTTAATGTTGCCAAATTGAGTCATTTTGATGTAGGTGATGATTTTTCTTATTCGAGGACGAATCCTTAAGAGGGGGATGATGATAAGAATCACGGTGTACATTCTACTTTCAATGTTGCTGAGTTGAGTTCTTTTGATGTAGGTGATGATTTTTCTGATTCGAGGACGAATCCTTTTGAAGAGGGGGATGATGATAAGAATCACGGTGTTCCAATTGGACCTATTACATAACCCAACGCCAAGAAGATTCAACAAGCATTCATACTTCATCTACAAAATTGGATAGGCTAGGTTCAACCATCATTTCATGTGTTACAAGCTAATTCTTTTGAGTCAAGACCATTTGGATATTCAAAAGTAAATATTTGGACGGATGAAGCAGTGGATGAAGTTGCAAGCATCATTTCATGAGTGGTTAGAAAAATTTATTTATTATTTTAATTTCATAAAGTTTGTAATGCTCAAATTGACTTCGTCTTGTGTGGAGATTTAAAGGGATCGAGATTAAATCACGGCCACTAACTTCTTTTGTTGGGAGACTATAAATACCCACAAATTATTATGTAAAAGCATATTTGTGATCAATGAAATTGATCTCTCAAGTTGAGACGATCCCCCTTGTAGAAATCTGAGCATATCTTTGTCATTTCTAAGTTTCATGCAATTCTTGTGGTAGATTGCATCTCAATCATTCAATCAAGCCTTGATCAAGTTCGATGGTGAAGTGACTCAATTTAGAAAAAGGTTCCAAATCTTGTTTCTCAATCTTGAATCTCATCATCTAATTCTAGCTTTATCTCTTGGTTGATCCAAATTTTGTATAAGAAGGTGTTAATTTCTTTAATACAAGGGTTCTTGCTTCTACAAAAGCTTGGCTCGTTGGGCTGAAGATTACGATTGGTCTATCATCCTTCAACGGGATCTTCTATCCTCCTGACTTGCTCTGATGCGGTCGTTCTTCTAACGCCGATGACACGTCCAGTTGTCGAGATTGGTAATGTGAGTTTGTAACCCATCCATTGAGGTTCTTAGAATGATTCTATAGCTTATCATTTCCATGTTGGGAGTTGGATCATGGGTCTTGGGCGAAGGAATCCTTTATTTACCGCCCTTCGAGTCGAAGGAAGTGTCATAAGGCTAGTTTTTTTTCAAATTTTTTTTTCTATTTTATTGATATTTTTTAGTGATTTTATTTGATTTTATTTCAATTTTGTCAAATCACTCCGGTGCTCATCTCAATCATTTCAGCCTTGTTGGCATTCAATAAGAGAGACCTTGGAAATAACCTGTAACTATTCAACTGGATTATCACATTAACAATTTTAATCAAATAAAGTGACATTAACCATTTGAATCACCTCAACCCCACTTGTTGAACTTGACCAAATGTCTATAACATAACACAAACAAAGGTACAAAGTAACACTAACAAAGGTACAAAGTTCATAAAAGTCTTTTTAATCTAAAATACCATTGAACTTTACCATTATAGTGCCTCTCAAACGTAGGTAAAGTTTAAATTCGGGTCTCCTTGTCAAACTCACTCGGGTGCTCATCTAAACCATGATGGTGTTCAACAAGAGAGACTTCGAAAATAGCCGGATTATCGCATTAACCATTTGAATCACCTCAACTCCACTCGTTGAAATTGAAACAAATATCTATAACATAACACTAACATAGGTACAATGTTCATAAAAGTCTTTTTAATCTAAGATACTATTGAACTTGACCATTATAGTGCCCCTCAAAATGAGGTAAACTTTAAATATAATTGGTGACAAAAGATGAAACTATAAAATAAAAAGAAATAAGAAAATAATATTCAATTTCAGAGAATCAAACCAGAATGTCCGAGGTGAAAGCCAAATATCCAAACCGTTGGACAACAATGAATTTTTGGTGTAGTTGTCCTAAAGTCTTTTGTCTAATCGCTGAAGAGTTTTACTATGATGTTTTGAGTAATGTCTAACTCTTCGACACGTTCTTTCATGTGTGTGATAGAGTTCTCAGAGTTATCGCGATGTTTCGAGCTGTTCGATCGTGTGGCTCTTTCTTCAAAAGGGTCAACATCAAACGTCAGGTCTTTGATTGGCAACCCATCCAGAGGAGCGTCGATTCCATCGATTCCATCAACAGTCTTCCCATGAGTTTATGGTGCATGACCCATTATTTATACCATTCACCTTCAAGCGCCACCATAGTTTTGCATCGTCCATGAGATGCATTGCGACCAACGTAACTCTTAGGTCCTATGAGCAAGTTCCAGTAACCTTCAAGTATTGTTCTACGTCAAAAATAAAGCTTTTTAATTCCTTAGCATCCCGGTTTCCCTTTAAGGGGTTGTGTTCTTGGATTTTAAGTTTGCTAAGCCCACATGAACTTGGTTTGAGGTGTGGTTCTCTACAGCCCAACTTGCCAAACTCACTCGGGTGCTCATCTCAACCATAATGTCATTCAACAAGAGAGACCTCGAAAACGACTGGATTATCGCATTAACCATTTGAATCACCTTCTCATCTCAACCATGATGTCGTTCAACAAGAGAGACCTCGAAAACGACTGGATTATCGCATTAACCATTTGAAATTGAACAAAGTATTTTTAATCAAAGATAGAAACTGTAAAATAAAATGGAATAAGAAAATAATATTCCGTTGCCGAGATACGAAGTTCATAAAAGTCTTTTTAATCTAAGATAAAAACTGTAAAATAAAATGGAATAAGAAAATAATATTCCATTGCCGAGATACGAAGTTCATAAAAGTCTTTTTAATCTAAGATCGAAACTGTAAAATAAAATGGAATAAGAAAATAATATTCCATTGCCGAGATGAACCTAGGTCTCCTGGGTGAAAGCCAGATATCCTGTCCGCTAGACGACAATGGCTTTTTTGTGTTAATGTCCTGAAGTCTTTTGTTTGATCGTTGAAGAGTTTTAGCATGATCTTTTACTTAATGTCTAACTCTTCGACACGTCCTTCCCTGTGTGTGTTAGAGTTCTCAGGGCTACCGCGAAGTTTCAAGCTGTTCGATTGTGTGGCTCTTTCTTCGTTTCAAGCTGTTCGATTGTGTGGCTCTTTCTTCAAAAGAGTCAATATCAAATGTTAGGTCTTTGATTGGCAACCCATCTAGGGGAGCGTCGATTGGATCGATTCCACCAACGATCTTCCCATGAGTTTATGGTGCATGACCCATTTTTTATACCATTCACCTTCGAGCACTACCCTAGTTTTGCATCGTCCATGAGATGCATTGCGGCTAACCTAACTCTCACGTCGTATGAGAAAGTTCCTATAGCCCTCAACTCTCAGGTCGTATGATAGAGTTCTTAGAGCTATCGCAACATTTCGAGGTGTTCGATCGTGTGGCTTTTTCTTCAAAAGAGTCAATATCAAACGTCAGGTCTTTAATTGGCAA